GGGGGGCCGGCCCCCCCCGGCCCCAGGCCCCGCCCCCCCCCCCCCCGGACTGCACCCGCCTGCTCCTGGCCTTCGGGGCCGACCCCAACCTGCTCAGCGCCGAGGGCTCGGCCCCGCTCCACCTCTGCACCACGCCCGACAGCCTCCCGTACGCCCCGGGCCCCGCCCAGGCTGGCCACGCCCCTCATCTGCATATAAAGCCCTGCCCTTGTCACACACCCCACCCATGCTCCAGCCAAGGCCCTGTCCAAGAGCTGGGCTCATCTGCATACCAGGCCCCACCCACATGAGCAGCCTCATCTGCATGCCAAGCCCCACCCACACGTCGGGCCCCTCCCACACCCTCATCTGCATGCCAAGCCCCCCCCCCCCCAGCTCCACCCACTCTCACCTGCCAGCAAAGCTCCACCCACCCCTGAGCCCCACCCACATAGCTGGCCTCATCTGCATGCCAGGCTCCACCTCCCACCCAAGCCACACCCACCACTTATAAACCCCCATAGAGAAGCCCCTCCCCAAAGCCAAGCCCTGCCCAATCACCAGCCACACCCAAGGCCAAGCCCCATCCCAAGGCCAAGCTGCCCAATCACCAGCCATGCCCAAGGCCAAGCCCTGCCCCAAAGCCAAGCCCCACCCAAATGCAGCCACACCCAAGGCCAAGCCCCACCCCAAGGCCAAGCCCCACCCAAACACAGCCACACCCAAGGCTAAGCCCCGCCCCAAAGCCAAGCCTCACTCAAGCACAGCCACACCCAAGGCAAAGCCCCACCCCAACAAACCCCAGACCCCCCCCACAGCCCAGCCACCCCCAGGGCAAAGCCCCCCCCCAACCCCAGCCCCACCCAAAGCCAAGCCCTGCCCCTAAGCCAAGCCCCGCCCCCAAAGCCCCCCCAAAACCCAGCCACCCCCAAGGCCAAGCCCCACCCCAAAGCCAAGCCCCACCCAAGCACAGCCACACCCCACCCCACGCCCCACCCCAAGGCCAAGCCCCGCCCCCACCCCAGCCCCGGGGAGGTCGCGAGGGTCGCAGCCCCCTCACCCGTGTCCCCCCCAGGTGCGCGGAGCTGCTGCTGGCGCACGGGGCGCGGGGGAACCTGGGGACGCGGGG